TGTCTTTGCTTGTGCAGATACGAGTACAGGAAGCGAAAGAACAATCACTGAGGCACAAGAAGGGAAAAGCGAAATTCTCAATGAGCCACTCGTAACCGAGCAAGAGTTTAATCAATTTCTTGAACATTCTCAACACATACAAAGTCTTCTCCGTGACACAACCGAAAATGAGTCAAGAGAATCATTTCACTCTTTTGGCAACCCTATAGGGTATGTCAAGGAAGACATTGTGCTGGAACAAAATGGGAGTTTCAACTCCTCACTGTCAAGCACTCCAATTAAGACGGCATCTCATCTCAAGTCCACCGCAAGCAGCAAGAAAAGGAAGGCCTAAATAACTTTGTTAGGCCTCGGTGATAAGTTGTGATGTTATCATGTTTGTGATCTTTTAATTTATGGCTCTATCTTTCATTATCTTTTCAATATGATGTCAGTATCTAAAAGATTTCATTAAGATTCTCACGACATCTTTCTGCCTATAAATTGTGTCTCTACTTCATGAGCTATACTCATTCTCAAAACCATAGAAAAGGAAAAAGCTTGCAGGAATGGACAAAGGAAAAGGAAAGATCGATGAAGCTGAGAAAAGAGCTAATCGTCTAAAACATCATCTGCGAGAAGCTAGCAAGCTACCAAATGCCACCGTTATTAGGCTGGAAGAAGATGGGGAAAGGGTCATCGTGACTTACTCCATGCCTAACACAGCAACACGAGAGGATAAGGAAGCTCGTGACATTCTGGTCAATGAGTCCAGGGCTAAGAAAGCATACTGCATGGAACAAGCCACACGGCTTGCTAAAGAAAGAGTTGTGAGGATGAAAAGCTCTAACAAGCACCCACCATCTTTTCCCACTTCTCATTGGCATCCTTCTTATGAAGTTCCCCAACCAAGTGATCAATCTTATGAAGATTTCACTATGGTTCACTCTCGGTCCTCTACTTTTTCACCCGAATCCACTCTCTCACTTGAGGAGCTGGATGAATATGCAAAGAAGACAAATCTGTCTGACGTGACCGAAGAGATGACTTGTCTGGAACTTCACGTGCCCTATCGCTTTCTCTAAAGAGTTGTGTGCTGTACTCTCGTGACTTGGAACTCCCTGTCTATCTTCCTTGTGATCTAATAAAAATGTTATCCTTTCGTACTGATAATGAGTGCATATCTTGACTATGTTTAACTTTGTCTGTTTCTTGTCTAAAGTCACAGGAAAACTCATCACTCAAAATTAATCTGGTAAAAAAGGGGGCTATAAATTATTATGAGTTACATGACTATTAAGTTCATTGAAGTTGGAGCAATGCTTAATAAAGAGTCATTTTAACAGTCAAAGTCTTGCCTGGAATTGATAACTTCTTGAACATATTTATGAGCATTTATTGCTACGTTGAAAACTATGTGTAACAGACACATGAACAGTATGGATCTCTTGCTATAAAAGGAGGAGAATTCTTCACTTTATCACCATCATTCTCTTCCTCACCATGGCTCCTAAGAAACCTTTCACCAGAGGTGACTCTCACAAACTAAGAGAGGGTGCTAGACGTCTCAGGGAGGAACAGGGTGACCTTTATCCTGGCAACAGCCCACAAGCGCCAGTGGAAGTTCTCTCTGATTCTGACTCATCGCTTCTATATGATGATATGGCTGGTTTTATTGTTGAAAGTGAAGAGAAGCTCTCAAAAGATCCTACTCCAGCCACTCCTGTGGATCATAGCAAGTTCCGTGATCGAGACTATATGGAGTTTCTGAAACAAGAGCGTGAGAAAGAGGCATATGATAAGGAGGAAGAACCTGAATCCTCATCTGGCTCAAACTACCCACGAACCGGAAAATGGTTTAAGCAGATGCTGGAAAATCTGAAAAAAGGCAAAAGATGAGCCGTCTGGAGTCAAGAAAAACGAGAGAAAGAAGAATTGATCACTTGATCTTTGTATCTTATGTATTCTCTTCTCTCGGCTCTATGAATAATAAAACCTTGTTGGCTTTTCTTTTTCGATAAAGTTATTAAGCGAGACTTCACTTGTCTCATTTGTCCTATGCTTAAAATCTCGGATCAAGGACATCCTTCTTGGAAATGTATATATTCCCTCAGGCGTGCCTTGGTCAAGTCATTCGGGCACATCTTTTGAGAGATCCAAACCCCTATTTAATGGACCTTCTCACTTAACCATAGACTCACTCTTCAAATTCGTCAAGTTCATGGATAAAGGGAAAGAAATGGCTCTTACTCCCGAAAGCTTATCTGTGCCTGAAAAATTGTCTCACCCTGATCCCGGAAACTCAGTTGAGAAAGGTTCACCCTCTGGGAAGGAACCAGACATTTCAGAGTTCTACTCCCTTGTTGAACTCACACCTCTTCTGAAACACGAAGAAAGGTATCGTGCATTGTACGCTTTTGCTAAAGCCAAGGTAATGGCTGAACTGGATGACATGGAGAAATGAGGTCTCTCTAGAGAAACATTGGGAGTAGATCACGAGACACTCATCGCTGAAGTGTTTGCTCATGAAATCCGAAAGAGGGAATACTTTGAGTACGCACGAAAGAAGAAGGGTAGCAATGAGTAAAAGGCAATCTTGCCTACTAATGCACGAGAGATCGTAAACGTTCATGTTACGTGTTGTTCTGTGTAATAATTCTCTCGGAAAAGCATCTCTGTTGTTGTGAAAAGGACCTGTTTGACTCTATTTGTCTCCCAAGTCTTATGTTATGAAAATCTTATCTATTTTCGGGTTTGGAATCATACCTAAAATGCTTGATGTTTTCAGCTTTTAATCCCAACCGTTTAAATGGATCTTAATGGGATCATGTGGCCGAGAAAAATGGTCCACTCTCCCACTCTGTCTGATACAGGATGTGACGTGCATTTAATGCACCCATAAGCACTCAAGTGCTTTTCTCTCACCTCATTAAATGAGGGAATGATCGTTTTTGATCTGCACACGATCTTATCACTCCCCCACGTTGATCAGTTACCATATTGGAGAAGAGGAACCGGGAGTACTTTTGAAATTCAAACAATTCATCTCTAAATGGGTTACCCATACCTGGTTACCCGGAGTTTTATAAAACCCTACTTAAACCTTTTTGCTCATTTTACCTTACCTTCTTCACACAGTCTCTTCTCTCATCCACCATTCTGTTCTTTCTCTCAAATTCTTAACAATGGCGGAACATTCACAAGCTTCACCCACTAAAAAAGAACCAGAAACACCATCTATCCTGGAGATCCCAAGCTTTCCAACTGAAAACCTAAGGTTCATCGAATCCAGAGTACCAAATATTGTCGGAGGTAGCATGTGGGATGCGCATGGCTTTCTTGAATACATATTGGACAGAAGATTTGGCGAAAACATCATTCGACTCCTCACAGAAACAGGGTTGTATAATTTCATCACACATCTTTACACCATATGGCACCCTATTGACGTAACTCAGTTCTATATGAATGCTTCCATATCCTCTGATTATCTGACTATTACTTCCAGAGTCAATAATCATCATGTGGTCCTTACCTCGGAAGACGTTCGATCTACATACGGGTTTCCACAGAGAGATGAAACCTACAAGTCTGATAGTATCTATTATCATCTCGATCTAGAGGAGTTCTATGAATCTATCAAGAACAATCACGCACCATCCAAGGCAGAAATCACATGGCCGTTGAAAAAGAAGTGGTTCCGGCTAGATTATGAGTTTACCGTTGACATTTTCAACAAGATTGTTGATCACAAGACCTCGGGCACTGATGACGTGACGAAGGAGAAATTAAAAATGCTGCATGCATTCCTAAATGAATTCAAAGTTGATTGGTCCAAGATCATCTTCAACAATCTCGTCCACACCATCACCTATCACAGGAAGAGTCCAGGAGACATTGCAAAGAAGTTAGGGTATGACTTTGTGATAAGTCATCTTCTTGCCACGAAAGGAGTCTTAATGCGCCCAGGAATCCGACCTGGACAGAAAGCATGCCATATGAAACAAAAACCTTCCGGATATGACAAGCAGAAGGCATTAGAGTTGGGGATTCCTATTGAGCAGGTTAAAGCCAAGAGGAAGTCGAGAACCCCTAGGGTTTCAGAGGATGATCAACCCAAGCCGAAACGACAAAAACGAGAAAAACACTCCTCTCGGAGTAAGGTGAAAAAGACAGAAGATACTCCACCCGTTCATTTTCCTCCAAAATCCCCTCAAGAGAAGAAAGATCCTACTCCATCACCAGAAACGATCATTGTAAAGAATTCATCCGAAGAAGACAATCTGGTACTCTCTAGGATCATAAAAAAGGGTCACTTTCGGTCTCCTGTCAAGCCTAAACCTTCCCCGAAGGAACCTTCTACACCGAAAGCAGCAGACACGAGAGAAGCACCTCCACAGGGGGAAGAAATTCTAAACGACGCACTTTCTGAGGGGGAAGCACAACCGAAAGTTGTCTTTCCTGGAAGTCTCCATGGTGATCAAGATCCTGTAGTTGATCTTGTTCCTTCTCAAGTCCCCCATCCACAAGAACCTACTTTGGCAGAGCAACTTCTTCGTGAGTTGACACAAGAACCTGCTGATGTAGAAATGGAGGCCAGTCGCTTAAATCTTCCACAAGAACCTGGCTTGCCAGAAAAGACGAAAGGAGCGACTGCTGAATTTGTTGTTGTTTCTTCTCTGCCACAAGAACCTACCAATGCAGAGCGGGTTAATCTGACACAAGAACCTGCGTTGGTAGAAGAGTCAGCTGTTGTGCAAGTCACAACCCCCGTTATCCCGAATCCTTCTGTTCCAGCTCTAAAAGCACCAACACCAGATCAAATCCTTCGAGCATCCATTGAAAGCGATTTTCAACGAGTTCTGCAGTGGCAAAAGTGGCGCACTGCTCCCTTAAGAACTTTTCTTGAAACTTTTGAAGTCATGCAAGACGAAGAAGAATTTGCACTGAAATGAATTGGCACAGAAGATGTTTCCAAAGCCCTTCGAATTGAAGAAATCAATCGAGTGTTCTCATACAAGATGACGAATCGCACTCTCGGGAGAGACAAAGCTCCAATCTGCATTGAACTTAACAAGCCACCTTTGGATCCGGCCTTGGAAGAAGAAACGAAGCAACTTCGATATGCCATGCTGCTATCAAAGATCAATACCACACTAGAAAAGGAACATCAGAATGATCCAAACTGCAATATCAGTGGCACGAAGGATGAGCATGGCCGAGAGATTGAAGAAGACGAAAGTGACGTTAATGAAGATGAAAATAATGATGATGTTGACGATGCAGATGACGAGAATGACGACAACGATGATAATGACGATGATGAGGACAATGATGATCAGTTGGGTAATGAAGGTGTTCAAGAAGACGAACCCGAAGACAGCGCTACAATTTTAATTGGCCCTGACTATGACACCTTTCCTCAAAGATCTCCCTTAAGAAAATTACCCTCTGATAGTGAGGAAGAATCTTCATCTGCACATTCCGAAGACCTGTCTCGTGCCATAGTTCCACATGTCCCATCCATGGACGAGACTCCGATCAAGCAAGAGAAAGAAAATGTGTGTGAGGGCAAACTGGAAGCCTCACCAATTCTTCTTAGCTCAGCAAGTGGTGGAAAACGGGAAGCACCACCTCAAGATGAACACATGGACACGACGCCAACAAACATTGAGGAAGAATCTACTGCAGAGTCCCCACGGACTATAATGAACATCATGCGAGAAACTGTTCATTCAGCCGAAACCATTCATATGCAATATCTTGCTTTACGGCAAAAGGACACGAAAGTTTTGGAGGACTTATGCAAAAAGGTAGATCTCTTGATGGCTGCCCAATCTCAACCTCAGCCTCCACCTCCGGAACAGCCCCAACCGACTCACCAAGCTCAATCTGATCACAAATTTCTTGAGCAAATAGCTAAGAGACTTCATGAACTGGACACCACCATGAACAAAGTTGCACGGCAACAACACGAGCTCAAGCATTCACATTATGGTCTAAAAGATCGTGTTGACCTAGCCTGTACAAAGATTGACACTTATCAAGATAACTCGTACCAACTGGGAGAATATGCCCTTCAAATTCTCGGGTATGCCCAGGATATCTTGCTTGCAATCAATAAGGTTTCCTCTGTTCCTCCTACCACCTGTGTTGATGATGCCAAAAAGGGGGAAAAGAGAGATGACGACAAGGATAAGGATGATGATCATCCGAGAGATATCACGAAAGATCAGTGTCCACAAGCAAGACACTCGCCTTCTCGGACACCAAGAGACTATGGCCGAAGGAACACAAATCCATCCCACCCTCCCTCAAGGTCTCGTGGTCACCATTCCTCGAAGCCAAGATACCATGGTTGATACCAATCCAAATCAATTAAGCCTCGCCAATCCTTCGGTTCTGAAGCCAAGTACATCTTCACGGGTTTGCCCAAGAGAGAACAGACGAAACTAAGGCAAACTATGGATGGTATAGGAAACTTTGTGGACTTTGTTCCATACGAAGAAGGAAGTGGTAAATGTTTTGAGGGTTGCAATGTTCCTACCTGGCTTAAAACTAGGGACAATCATACAAGGTAAGATCACATCAGCACCCAAAACGAGAGGATCAAAAGAGAAAATAGAGAACTGTGGAAGAAACATGATGAAGAAATCAAAAGAAGAGAAGATGAAGCAATGGAAAGAGAAAGGATCAGGAATCTCATTGAAGATATTTCTAGTGTAACCAAAGACTCTCCACAGAATGTCATTCACAATGCAGCTTTCAAAGTGCACAAAGAGTCAGGAAAGAGTTATCAAGAAGGCATGAATTCTTTTGAGCTAATTTCGTGGTGGAAGGCTGGAATAGTCGAAGGAAGAAACATTCGTGAAGCCTATAACAATTACACAAGCCTGAATATCAAAGGAGAACATGAAGAGCTTGTCAGGTCAAATCCAATCAAGGTATTCAGGAAAAAGATCAATGAGGGAATAGATCTTAAAAGAATGCTCAAGCAACAAAAAGAAAAGGATGAAAAAGAACTCAAGGAAGCTGCTCAACAGAAGTCAAAGCTCTTGGAAATGTAAGATATCTTTTATTTTGTTGTTTTCATCATAAAGTTTTTGTAATCTTCACGATCTTATATATGAAACTCTCATTGTTACACATCTCGTGTCACTTGACTGAGTTATTTGTCCTTGTCTTATTTGTTAAATGCTTTTATCCTAGAAAGGGCTTGTACACTCTCAAGTAAGACTGCCTTTATAATAGAAAATTCCTTATGGAATCATTTTTCAGTCTTACAAGAAGGGTATAGGTTTTGGCATCATCAAAAAGGGGGAAATTGTTAGGAACCTTGTATTAAGATTTTGATGATACCAATGTAATGTAGAAAAGTAGAACCCTATCTATTAGCTTTTTCGTTCGTTGCTTTCGTCCTAGACGAGAGTTGCCATAACTCCTTTGTAATTCATGTTAAGCTAGACAAACACACGAAAATGAGTTATGATTAGATGTTAGGGTCTCCCAGACGAAAGAAGACATGAGGCATGGTGAACAATCAACGTAAGATAAGCTGGAGTTGTCAACTATCACGAAAGGACAGTTTTGTTAAAGACGAATCCTATCAAGCATTACTTCTCTTCATCAACGAGAAGAATGTTCTACCTATCTGATTTGACAATATCCTAGGACAATAAGGACTTCATCTTACGGGGCACACTTTTCAAGGAACATTAAATGAAGATGTACCATCTCTTGGAGCTAAAGGATAAAACCCTAATGCTTTCCATACCTTCAACGACTACATGGTACAACCTCATTAATGGAGCATTTAATGCATGAAGCTCCCCGGTCCTTGTCCACTGGTTAAAAGGTTCGAAAATTTCATCTCCCTCCAATGGATGAATTTTCATCACCTATAAAAACCCACCTTCATCAACTAAGAAGGTGCTGGTTCATTATCACTCGACTTATTTACTTGCAAAAGCTCTTGAACGCTCCTATATTTCCAAAAGCTTTTGTGAACCAGTATTGAGGTGTTAAGTTACTTGAAGAAGGTCGTTGATAATTTTCTTACACCTCAAAAGAAGTCTTGCAATTTGTTCGAAGCAATCATCTCTCACAGTCAAGACTTCATCGTTGGAGAAATCAAGAAATCATTTTCTACCAACCTCAACTCAGAAGAAGGAGTTGATAGAGGCGGAGTAAACTCGAGAAGTTGAAAAACCTACGAAGGCTGTCCGGCTTAGTGATCAAGGAAGTCTTTGTGTAATTGTGCTAAGGAGTGATAGTGCAATCCTTCCATAAGTTGTGGAAGAAGAGTAGAGTAGGCAACGTTGGCCGAACCACTATAAAATCTCGTGTTCCTTCCATCCCTTTACTTACGCTTTTTAATTCTGCATTTGCATCATTCTAATCATCACCCCTAATCGAAAGTTCTTTTTATTTCATAAACTCGTGCAAAAGTATTTAAATCTAATCTGGCTTTTCCGCTGCGCCAAAACACCGAAAGGTGACGTTTAGGGATTTCGCGAAAAGAGTCTATTCACCCCCCCTCTAGACTCTCATTTCATTCTATCGGGACCAACAGTAATTATATATATTTTTTATTATTATCCTTGGAATACACGTAAGCATTTGACCCAATTAAAAATCAAATTTTAAATCCCTAATCCCTAATGAATCTGACCAGGAGTGTTGTTACCAATGACAGAGGATTTCGGTTATTGAGGAAAGCAAGGAAGTGAGTGTGAAGGTGAATTTGTAGTGTATTTGTAAGTGTACAGATGATACATATTAAAACCCTTATTATAAATTGATTAATTTAAGAGTTAATCAACGATTTGGTCCCTCAGTTATTGCCAAAGTGCCAAACTATGAATGTTGTCCTTTAATTCCTTAATCATTGATTTAGTCCCCGAAAATAACTGTTTTTAGTCAGTTTAGTCCCTCCGTCCGTTTTCCGGCTACACGCCGGTTAGGCCTCCGATTTACCAGGGTCATTTGTGTCATTTCATTTGTTCATTTGCTTCGTTCAAAAGGGGCTTATTACACTTCGGAGTTCAACAGAGGGATAAATTCACAACCAAAATCGCAAATCTGAGCCTTCCAAAAGAGAGGGGATAATTTCCCAACCAAAATCGCAAATCTGAGCCTTCCAAAAGAGAGGGGATAATTTCACAACCAAAATCGCAAATCTGAGCAAACTCGCAAGGAAGGGATAATGTCTTGCAACCAAAGTTCTTCATCGGAATTTATGGCGGAGGTGCGATGTAGGTGCGGATTTTTGGCTCCAATGAAGATGTCATGGAGTTATGCTAACCCAGGGAAGAGATATAGGGCATGTCCAAGATACGGGGTAAGTGTATAATTTGCGATGTTAAAATTTGTTAGGTTAGATCTTGTTAAATTAATCGAATTTTTGAATGGTGTATGGTTAGGGAAATGACAGCTGCAGGTATTTTGAATGGATGGATTATAATGTCTCCGAAAGAGTTACAAATGTGCTTAGAGGCTTGTTGAAGAGGGCAAATAAGTATGAGCATGAAATTGAAAAGCTGCAATTTACAATTGAGAAAAAGGAGCATGAAATTAAGAAGAAGATTTGGGAGTTAAATTTGAAGTTTCTGTATGGATTTGGATTCGGTGTTCTATTTGCAGTCCTTGTTATGAGTATTTGGATGAGAAGTGGTGAACCAAGTGAAGGGTTATTGCAGCTCAAGTAGGTTTAGTTTATGTTAGTCCACAAGTAGTTAACCAAGTGAATGATGTAATGAACTAAATTTGTAGTATTTTATTTCCAGTAATTGAATGGTGTAATGAATTCATAATGAAGTATTTTATTTCCAGTTTACAGTGAGCATTTTGCAGTGAGCATACTTGTTGTGTCCAATGACCATTTTGTAGTTTACACACTGACAACTTACACACTTCCAAATCAAACCATTAGACAAAGAGTTTTCCAAATCAGACTATTACAGTGAGCATTATAGAAAGAGTAAACAAACTTCATTTACTTGAATATTGTTTACATAATGCACAAATGTCATTTGCACAACAGTGGCTAGCATTACAATTCAAAATACAAACAAACTTAACATTAACACCAAATACAAAAACTTGGCCATCTGAATCAGAATCACACAAACTTCTTAGTACTTGTTCAGACAAATTACAGTCCATCTCCACAACATCCTCTATCCCCTTTGGTTGTGAACTATTACCAGTATCCTTAATATTGTTTACATCAACTGGAAACACATCAGGTCCTCCTTCACCACCTCCTTCATCAGAATCACCTCCTTCATCAGAATCACCTCCTTCATAAGAATCACCTTCTTCATCATGCAATAAGACAGCATCTCCTAGTTCCCTAGAAATTTCTACATCATTGTCCCATTGATTTTCATGCAAATGCTCTACATATATATCAACCTCTTTGTTCACTGGAATTTCAGTAATCAACCCTAGGATATCAGCATCACTATTTATCCTTAAAACTGTAGGTTTTCTTTTGTGCACAACCTTATACCAAAACTGCACTTTTTTGTCACAAAACCTAAGCATTCTCACCATCCTTCTCAAATCTTCAATACTACCTTCATCACAGTTAAAATGGTCAAAGTACTCCACTATCCCATTTTCATAACCAATCCTAGGTTTCAATACCAAATCCCCACCAATATGCAATTTTATTGTAAACACAGATTCTTCCTCACCATCATCTATATCAAATAAAGATATAATAATCAAGAAAAGTTAAAAAAAATAAAATAAAAAAAGACATACATAGACATTACAGACAAAAAAACAAGTACATGGTCCCCATTGTTAAACAAAGTGCTCCTGTAAAGGCAGCACTGTCTACCTGCACATGGTCCCCACCTCCAAAATATGTATACACAAAGCAAACAATAATCACACCAAAAGCTTAAAACCGGGTCCCCCCAAACAACAATCATAAACAAACATTAATGCACTGGTGGACCTAACAGCAGTAAATGCAACAACAACAGCAACTACAAGTACCAAATGTACCTGATTCTATGTCTACAAAAAACCTAATCTTCCAAAAAAAAACCCTAAGTTCGAAAACTTACAATTTGGCGTCACAACAAAGCCATTAATCCTCCGACTCATCATGGTGTTGCTCCAATACCTTCGAATTTGCTCCAATTCATGCGATTTTGCTCTGGTTTGGTAGATTTTCGTTGGATTTTGCAAGGATTTCGTAGATTTTGCTCCCACTGTCTTAAGGACACCCTACCTACCCTCCGAAGTGTAATAAGCCCCTTTTGAACGAAGCAAATGAACAAATGAAATGACACAAATGCCCCTGGTAAATCAAAGGCCTAACCGGCATGTAGCCGGAAAACGGACGGAGGGACTAAACTGACTAAAAACAGTTATTTTCGGGGACTAAATCGATGATTAAGGAATTAAAGGACAACATTCACAATTTGGCAATAACTGAAGGACCAAATCGTTGATTAACTCATTAATTTAATTGTCGAAAGGTTAGAATTATTTTATGTTATATATTTGGACCGTCTCCTATCAGTGGTTATCAGCAGGTTTCGGAAGTCTGATTAGAATGATTTAATTATTCAAGGCTTATGATTTATCAATGTGTGGTTGTGATCTATCTTGCACTAATCTGACTATTCTACAATTTTATATTGGTGAAATTTATTCAAGGAGCTTCATGAAGAAGTGTTTGGCGTGACATTTCGAAGGTTAATCATATAATCATAACAGTAAGTATCATAGAATCATATAAGAGTTAATTCCAGCAATGGTCCTCCAACTATTACGATTTTCCAAAATTAATCCCTAACTTTTAATTTGGACGAAAAAGATACTTAGACTTTCTAAACTGTTCCACTAAAGGTCCTTATGTTAAAACACCGTTTCATGACCGTCAATGTAGGGGCAAATGTGTCCTTTCATTCCTTTCTTCTTCCTCTTAGCCTAGCAGCCATGACTCTTTTCCTCCAGTACGAAGAAAGCAGCGAAGAACTCCAGAACTCCAGTACCACTCAAGCAAATGTTCCTCATTTTCATCTCAGCCTAGCTTCCTCACTTCCTCACAGCCATGGCTCTTTTCCTCCGGTAAGGACTTTATTGGAACCAATACATTTGCAGCTTGCGTTGATATGATATGATACGATGATGACAAGACAAAAAGTAAAAAAGATAACATCTTTCATCTATGATCAGTTAAAAGCTGAGCAAACTTTGCGAATTTCACTACCGCTCCCATTTTTAACTCCAATGTTACTCATCTTCACCATGAACTTCCCGAACTCTATGCCAAATGTCAGCCCCAGCAGCCCTCTGATGCCCAGAAAACGCGAACGTTTTGGTGGAGCTGTCGGTCCAGAGTTTCTGGTCGGATTCAAGAATCTCATGGCCCTTTTGGAGGTTCGGAAAGAACGAGGTATCGAACTTGGTTCGCTGCCGTCGTCGAGGGATACTCTGTTGGTGCCGTCGCCGCCTTGTGGGCAGAGTGATTGAAGCGTTGGAAGGAAGGATGGGTCGATTGATGGGTCAATAAAATTCAGTAAAAAAAATTTATATATATATATATATATATATATATATATATATATATATATATATATATATATATATATATATATATATATATGATTAATTTACCGCAGGCTGTAGAAAGATTCATGGAGAAAGTAAGGAGAGACACAGTGAAATTAGATCTCGACAGGATCGTTTTGAGCGGAGGTGCCACCGGAGCTCATGAAACACTGGCCTTCTGTTTGGTGGATTCCGGCAAAGCATTTTTGGTCCCAACTCCATATTATCCTGGGTAATTTATAAGCTTTTCATTTCAATAATATTAATTGTTCCTTCTGTGCTAGCTAGCTGTAATTCAATTCTTGGATTAAAGCTAAGCTAATTTAGGTGTGCAATGTTTTTCCAGATTTGATCGAGATTTGAGGTGGAGAACAGGGGTACAGCTTTACGGCTTTACCCAGTAGTATGTGAGAGCTCAAATGGCTTTAAAATCACCAGAGCTGCCCTCGAGTCTGCTTATAACAAGGCCCAAGAAGAGAACATCAGACTTAACGGCTTGCTCATAAACAATCCTTCGAATCCATGACAAGGTCCCAGAAAGCACGATAGGTGAGAAACAATATAATGGAGTCTTCTCCGCCTCAAATACAGTCAAGGGTAAGAGGAAAATTATGGAGAAGAAAGCTAGATAATGAAAAGACCATTTTGCTCCCTAAACTAACTGCTAAGAAACGGATAGATAACAGAAGGACCATTGTTGGAATAAATTAGAAAGTCAAGTGTCTTTTTCGTCCAAATTAAAAGTCGAGGATCAATTTTGGAAAATCGCAATAGTCGGAGGACCATTGTTGGAATTAACTCAATCATATAATCAGTAATTGCTACATATAATTATAACAGTAAAGTGACAAAGTTCCTTACATAATTTATAGAGTTAATTATCAAAATGATCCCACGACTATAGCGAAATTACCAATTTGGTCCTTGACTATTTTTTTTAACCAATTGAGTCTCTCAACTTTAAATTTTTTAACCAATTTGATCCTTCGTTTGTTTGACCGTTAGTCAACCGTTAACTTGTGACCAAATTGGTAATTTCGCTATAGTCAAGAGACCATTTTAGTAATTAACTTTAAGGGTGGGCAATTCGGTTTAGTTTTCTCGAATCGAACCGTATCGAATCGAACCGAACCGAACCGAACCAAATTAGTTTTTTCAAATTGATGGGCATTGTTGCATTTCTGCTGGTACCATAAATTTTCCTTGTATATATGTAAGAAATGTCTATTATTTTGAACATTAGCGATGCTGTTATGTATAATAAAACCTGCCAGTAATTGCATACTATTATTTTGTGCAGGAAGTTGGGGCATGATAGATCGAATTCATGCATTTCTGTCAGTAATTGCATATTGTTGTTGTCAATTTGTGGTTACCTATTTTTTTCTTGTGCGTAATCCAGGGTATCCACCGTGGGACACAATAACCAATCCCTTTGCTGAACTGTAGGCACCTAAAGGGTAGGACAGTTAGCCTATCGATCCCTTGACATTTTGTTAAGGATAAATGAGTCCTTTTAATTTAATCACACTCTATCACCCTCCAAGTTTTCAGGGTATCCACGGTACGACACATCGATTAATCCTTTCGCTAAATTGTAGACACCTCTAGTTGCTTGGGGTGGGGTGGAGTGGAGTGTGCCGTGTGCATATATGTTTCTCACCTTTTAAATAAGGTTGTTGTTTTTAATCGTTGTAATTATAGAAATAGTTAAGAATTGATGATAAAATTTATAACCTTGTTTGAAATCTAGCTATGACCAAAAAATAATAACAGTTAGAAATAATTGAAAAGGTTCAACAATTTTTCATCTTTAAAGTCTAAACTATAATAACATTAGGTTTGGCAAGGGAGTGGTGAGTAGGGCCTCCATCCCTGTCCCAATTTCGTCAAATCGAAAATGTAAATAAAAAACAAATATACAAATACATAATGCACCGAGACATACCCCTGAATACATAAAACATAAAAATAACCAAACAAACGGAAATACATGTCCAACATCAGCTAATCCCCAATTAAACTAGAGCAAAATTAATTAAAATAAAGCTTAAGCCTAATTGGTGCATAATTAACCAAGTCGTGACTTCCATTCACGCCATGCACGTCTAACTCCATAAAAACATAAAAT